AAAAAAATTGTATATCTCTAAATCCAAATAATCATATTCTTTTTATTTTTATTTTGTGTAAGTAAAAAATTCATAAACTGATAGGTATAAAACAAAAATGTTCGGCTAATTTAAGCAATATTAAAAATAAATTGGTTGTTAAATCAAAGTTCAATGTTTTTATTACACATGATCAACTCAATTGAAAACAGTAGTCTGTCCATAGTAAAATTCTATTAAATTATGGCTGCACTTTAAAATGTTTGCAGTGCTTGCAGAAAGATGTACGAACAAACAAATATTAGTGGTTTATGATCCTTGTAGCTTATGGATCAGAATCAAATGCATAATTTATAAGTGATTCTTTTATGACATGTATCGTTCAACGCTAATAAAGTTTACAGTACCTCCCACTCATTACGTTAAGATATACTAAATTTTTTATTTCGGTTTTGAATCAACTGTATTACTGGTTTTATAAATTTATTTGGCTAAAACAAATTTATATTTTTAATTGTTAAGTTCTAAACACGGTTTTCTACTTATATTTGACATAAAGTATTCTTTGCGTAGACGTCTATGTCAAGACGTCCCCAATGACAGGCGGAACTCGGATCGCACCCAAATACTTCAGACCTTTTAACGAGGTCTACTCAGAATTAACATTATTTTTAGAACCTTCTCAAATTCTGCCTAATTAGTTCATTTGTTGAATCTGCATATTTTTAACTTAGAAGAATTTGTTTAAATATAAATCATACAGTTCTAATTACTAAAATACTCAAGCTTCCTCATTTGTTTATTCCTATAATTGTAAGCAACAATGGTCGTTTCGCATATTTTTGTGGGGTCTTATGTGCATTATACTACAGGGTGACACAAAGGAACCGGACGTTTTTTAAATAAGTAGTACACAGTAGTTACATGGAATAAAATGGTTTTAATACTGTACATAGTGAGGTAAACATTTGCCATTTGTTACAAAACAGTCATTTTTTGAAAATGACGTCATGCATATGGTGGCCATGTACTTCTCTACAAATGTTCAATCTGGTCTGAAAATCATCTGTAACTCCGGTCAGGAGGTCTTGTTCAATGCCATTGATATCTTCTGTGATTCCCAACTTCAAATCCTCTAGAGTGCGTGGTTAGTGAGCGTAAAAACGATCCTTAAGAAACCCCCAAAGGAAGTAATCACTAAAGGACAAGTTAGGTGACCTTGGTGGCCACGTTATGTCACCAAAGAGAGAAATCACCTTGTTAGGAAACATTCATTCAATACTGCACTCACTCTGGCGACGTTTTCGTGTGTTCTCGAAGTTCTAGAAGCCTGGTGGTTTCTTTCTTGTTAAATTTCCAGTTGTTCGGAACCCTAAAACCCACCTTAATAGCGTAATTCGGCTTGAAACCGTTCCATGGCGTTCAATATTAAAATGTCGACTAAATTCCCACTGGGTTTTGTCGACGGATTCACCATTTTGGACTGAAGTTTCGTATGCGAAAACGCGATGGTCTAGGGTCCACTAAGCCATTTCAACAAAAATTGCAAGCCTTACTGAAGGTAATGACATAACCTCAATCTTCCTACAACGTACGACAACAATGGAACAGCTGTTAAAAAAACGTCCGGTTCCTTTGTGTCACCCTCATTTCAGTAGTAAAATGTGTTGATATTAACTATTTTATATTAATTCAAAGCAAAGTTTACTATAATCGAAATAAAATACGTTTAATTTGTAATTAGCATATTGTAAACTCTTTAAAATCCCTTTGGAAGTATTTTTGGGCTGTAATGCCAATTCTCATTTGAAATTAAAAATCAATCCACTTAAAACAATCACACTTAAAGGAAAATATATTTGTAAATCATCCCTCCCATATATGTTACTAGTGAATAAAAAAAATCGTTTCCTTCAACAGGCAAAGGAGTATAAATAGCATCCCTCTTACGACCATAGCGAAATCCATCGGCACGCTAGTATTAGCTAGGGAGATCTTTCACCTATCATCTGTTTATCTACAATCAGCTGTTTACTATGTACGGCTAGTAGCGCCTGGCAGTGGCGCCGCTGATTTATATCTATTAAACAAGTCTGGCTCTTCGTGAGATATTAACTTACTAGTCATTAGTGCTGACTGATTACCTATGCTCCACCTTCCTTATTTTGCTTCTTGGTAAAATATCCTACGAATAATATCTTATCCAGTTATTATTCTAGAAAACATATTTCTCCTTTTTCTTATTTTTAGGATATTTGCTTTCATATTCCTTATTTCCAGGATGCTAGTGGTCTTCTTATTTTGTATCATTTCCATAGGACAGGAATTTTCTTTCACGAGAACAGTAAAAAAATTAATATCTTACTTTATTCGTGATTGTGTTATTAATAACACAAGTTCGAATTCGGAAGTGAAAAATATTAAGTGCTACGGGTACACCAACGATCACATAAGACCGAGTGATCGTTGGGGTACACATCCATTGAACACGCAAAGGAACCTTTATAAACAAATATCTTATACATTTGTTGAAATATTTCAGTTTATCTTACTTCTCTGTGGTTTATATAAACCAGGATTATGTTTTGCAAAATCTATGCTATCTATGCTATACCACTTCCGAGGCTACAGTTTTCTGCTTTACAAGTTAATAGTAAAGGAAAATAATAAAAACCAACAGCAACAACTAAGGAATCCTTTACACGTTTGAAAATAACATTTAACTGTAAATAGAGTTCTTGATTAAACAATTCAGAGAAATATATTTTAAAGTTTTATGGAATTTATTACATATAAATAATCTACAGAGGAAACACTAATTAATTTCATGGCCCCTTTAGCTATGACATTTCCCCCATTACTGTCTCTCCTAACCACTCTAGACTATAAGCCAGCAAGTTTCTTTAAAAGCTTCCTCATGAACAGCATCTAACTTATAATTAAGTCTATTGGTCGTCTATCGATTAATTAGCGTTGCCAAGGAGGTTGATATGCTGAGGGCGTCGTAGATTCGTCAGCCGATAACAGCTGATTGGTCATTCCCGCCAAATCTCCGGTATCACGATCAGCTGGTCGGCCGCTTACCCTCCAATCTTGACGATATCGCGACTGGCGGGCGTCGATGGCTAATTGATTTAGAGCGTTCATCGACATCGTTAAATTAATTCTATTACGTTCGAGAATATCACTAAGACTCGCTCCGACGTGGTAAAAGGTTTATTCAAATTTTAGGTTGAATTATTTTGAGGTGTTCTCACTACATGCGCGATTTGGTTGGTTTTGTAGATTTATGATGGCTGTGCGGATTGAAATGGTATGTTATGTAGGCGAAGTTTGATAATTGAATTATTTATTTGGATAAAGTGAACATATTTAATGTGATTTATATTCGTATTGAAACAATTGCAAAGGCATATGGGATGACCAATGGGTTGAATTTGGTTAACACCGGTTTTTTCATGTTTTCTCAAACTTATGACATATTTAGTAATGATAACTTAAAAAAACTATATAGATTACATTAATAACTGGCCTTATGATAGTTCGCACAATAATTTACCCAAGATTATGATGATACAGATTACAATAATATGACATTATTATAATTGCACAGGTTTCAACAATGACTTTATAGATTATGTTTATTCAATTTGCTTTGGATGTCTTAAACACGCATGACTTCTAACATTAGTTTGATTTTTAGTTGCCAGAGGTTATTTGTTCAAGAGCTTACACACCCACACGTACGGAAAATATAAATAAACAATTACTAGTCTATTATCTGGAAAATTTTAAATTCTGTGCTTGTTACATTCCAATGTAAAACTCTTCGGCTTGATTACCAACCATTATCTTTTGAAAGATCGGATCCTGGATTCACATGCATTTTTCTCATACTTCGCATTCACAGGTAATTATTGACGTAATTAAATTACTTGTTACAGATACGCAATTATGTAAATAATAAGCCGCTTTTAAATTTGCAAATGATAAATAATCCTCGGCAATAAAAACCATCCAGGTGGCACAGCACGCTAGCACTTCCACTGATCTACATGTTTACCTCATAGTGGGGATCTTGTTGGTGTAGGTTGTTAGTTACGATTAGGTCGTTAGTTGAAAATATGTTGGCAGTAGCACAAATAATAGTAAAGGAATATGGAACACTTGTCTTTAGTAGTTACTTTAACATTATCGAACGGCAATGAATTCCTGCCAATACGTTTATGCACTTTTGTTACAAAAACCCAAATGTACGACAAAATAAAGTACCTAAAGTAAACAATTGCTAATCATACTCTATAATTAAGTATGAAATTGGTCAACAAAATAACGTTTTAATAATTGTCATGCACGTTAAATAATGTCTTATACTAAAGTTGTAAGTTTTCGAGTACGAAGTGTAGTGTTTAGAGTACTAATTGAGCCAACAAACACGTTGCATGCTGGTTTAAATTCTACCGAATGTTAGACTTCTTAAATAAAGCCCCTTAGTTCAGATGAGCTAACTTTATAAGTTTACCAAAATCCAAAATAAAAGTAATATTGAAGTAAATGAATTTAAGTATGAGTAAATCTTTAGCATATTTTATGCAAAACATACCTCAGTAACAAAATAAGATGGAAAACATAATTTTGTCTATACTGATTTCTGTGAGTGTCTTTTACAACAATGTTTTGCTTATAAAATAAAATGTACATAGCTATCCCCAAAGATGAAATACTTCAATATTCAAAAATAAACTACAATACCTTCATTAGAAATCTGAATAGTCTAGTTCCACCAAATGTTTAACAATTTACGCAAAGCATTTTAAAAATTAAAACTCATTTCAACAAGCCGGTATTCTGGGTACACCGCAATAAAATTAAATGGCCCGGAACGATTTAGAGCGAAGACCCGGCATAACTTGTGGGTGATGTATAGGAGCCACGGATGTAGAAGGACCAAGTCAGGATACTTGGGGTAGTCCTGCGAGTCCTGCGCGCGGTCGCGGGTGTGAGCGTGCGGGCGGCGGTGGGCGCTGGATCAAAAACGCCAGTGCGGCCCCTGCTTTGGCCCCGACCGCTCCTCGTCCAATCAGGTCTGTGAATCTAGCTCGTCAATCTTACGTATATTTGGATTTTGGAAAATTGTCTTCCGTGAACTTTGGGGGTGTTTGTTAACATGTTCACATTTAAATAGATTTTTGAGATCTAATTTTGTTGTAGATTGCAATTTGATAGAAATTCGCGAATTTATTATATTGTTTAGAAGTTTAGTTTAAAGGATATTGTATGATAACTTTTAAAATTAAAATTAATAAATAATTTAATTTGTAATAATAAAACTAATTGAATATACGAAAATGTAACAGATGCTGGGTACAATAGTTTAATTCTAAATTTCTCTACAGTAACGAACTAAGCTTAGAATTTGTTATTAAATGTTACGAATACTAATAGTTATTTGAAAAATTACCTTTTGGGTGTTGGTAATAGGTTTGAAGTTTCGAGGCTCTTGGTTTTTGAATGAAAAAATAAATAACAGGATATTGTTTTATTGCGTATTTCATATAATTAAGTTCAGGACAAATCCTTTGCAAGGTAAAGGATTAGTCTATTTAAAAAAGGAATAAGAAGAAGAATTGAACATACTTTATTTTTTGGAATCGGCGAAGATGAGTTATAGATTCAGCTAAATCTAAAAAAAAACTAACTACAAAAATAGTTAACCATAACAGGCCTACAGTTAATATTCGGGGCAACACCTTAAGAATCTCAAGTTAAGTTGATTTCTTGATAAAACCACTAAGGAATCATACTTTTTTACAAAAGTAGTGAATAATTTAAATAAATCTGAGTTTTTATGACCAATAGATAGTCTAATAGAAATGAAAGTTTAATATATTGCAAAAATCAACTTCTAACTACTTTCGTTTTATTTAGAACAAATCTAACATTCTAGTTTTATGGTTGATTTAGAATATCTTCAATACACTGCATCACATTAATATAATACCACCAATTAAGAAAGCCGGAAACACCAAACTTACTATATTTGACAAATCCTTCCAATGTACTAAAATATAATATTAGGTATAAAAAAGATAAAATAAAAAGGAAATTGGTTCATCAATTAATTATTGATTAATTATTTTAAGTGTATATACCATATAGAATCTGTTCCATATGAAATATACACAAATAATGAGTCCTATAGTATTCAAATTATTAGATAGTAATTCTTTTAAACATTTTAAGAATAAAATGTAACCAAGGCAATTTAAAAATTAAATTTATTTCCAAATTAAAAAGAAAATACTCCATCGTGTAAAAGAATATAAATTACATTGTAAATCAACAGCATCTTTTTCTAACTGGTAAAATACAAGCGGGTAACTCATTCTAATATATCGTCAGCGAAAATAAAACATTAAAATGTAAAATATCACAAAATCGCGTAAACACAATTTTTCAATCCTGTCATATGTGTTGGCAGTTGAAAAGTCAACAAATCTCTCACATCACGAATAAACCTTTCTCATAAATAGTTCACTTCAAGTGTTGATGGAGAGGAGATACGGGGGAGGTGTTTTATAAGTGTGATGAATTTTGCTTCCCGAAATAATACCCCCGTTCCAGCAAACCTGCAGACTATGCGAACTTCCTGTTGCTTAATTAGGTGTTTGTTTATTTGGGTTCATAGTGTAAGGTTATTTTTTAAATATGATTCTAAATGTGAATGCCATCAGATACAGAAAGTAGGCCTATTTACGTTTACGAAATAATTTAAAACACCTTTAAATTAATTAAAAACTATGTCTATATATACCAACAAACTGCATGAATTGATTTACTATCAATATCCTAAGACACAAGAGATATACAGCACTTAGCACTAGAAATATATCGGTAATTAATTGATTAGAGTATAAAAGTGACTTATGCAACGCACTAAATATTTTGTATGGTGATATTAAATAAACTGCACACCGGTCTCAAAAATATTTTTATAAAATATTATTGAGGTTTTTACAATTCGTAAAAGTAGGAAATCAAATAGTTTAAGTCCATTGAGCCCCCCACCCTCACTTCAGTGTCTTGCTTGGGATTGTCTAACTACTTTGTGAACTCTTTTTATAAATGGAAGGTTTACACGACTTGAGTAAACTTTTTTGAAATTGGTCAATATTTGCACGATTGGTCAAAATTAGGTTTTTTCTTATTGGCGCTGTGCCGCTAACAATGAAACCGTAAATGATGTGAAATATATAATCGTGTCGTTTATAAAAATAAAGGTCCATTCAATAGATAGGATGTTTATAAGTTTTATGAAAGACAAATAATCAATTACAGATATGAAAATCCTAAACGTCTGTCAAATTAATTGGTTACATGGACACAGTGTTTAAAAATGCGAAGCAGAGAAGAAATAATACAATCGAGGCAAGACTGTAATAATTTCAACAACCAAGAGCACAAAACTATTAATCCATATGGTCTTCGGGCCACAATTTAAATGCATTATTAATAGCAATAGTAATCTTACTTAATTACCCTTCTATCCCCCTAGAGGTACAAAGTGTTGTGTATTACCTTATTTTAAGCCGCTACACACGGTACTGTTATTTGAAAATGCCTGGATGCCATCTTTACGAAAAACAAATACTCCACAATATCGTAGGTATTAACAACAAAACACAATTTTTGGAGCGGTTTTATATTTCCGTTTTTCCTTACAGTGTCACAAAACATGCCAAGGACACCAAAAACCGATAACCGACCATCAGTCAAGGAGTTTCTAGCATAGACTCTAATGGAATTCAAAGAAATCGTAGTAATCATTCCAAACCGCTTGTAATCGGTTAAAACTAGTCGAGCGGTTGTAATCGGTGAAAAACTAGTTAACAGCTTGTAAATACTTGTAATCTGCCGTTGCAGAAGATTGCAGTGAAACCGATCATTACAAAACAACCGAATACACGAGGTGCAAAGTGGTTTAGCGGTGAGGCGCAGCGTGCGGCAAACGAGTTATATATATGCAAGGCAGAGGTAAATGCAACTTGATATGACACGTACCGTAGGGTGTAACTGAATACGTGATAAAAGTGAGGCTGGACGTGCTTATGTTTATTAGGAATGGATGTAGGTTTTAAACTGTTGGTATTGACTGTCAAGGAATCCTGCAAGTAGTCGTTTTGGAATAAGATATTGAAAAGTGTACTGGTAAAAGCTAATATGAGTTAACTCAAAAGAGCTAACCTGTCGTGAATTCATAGGTATACAACTTTGCGTTTGAAAATCGCTGGTTTGGTTTCAAGTGAGATCGTTTCTAGACCCAGATGTCATTTTTAGTCGGGCCATCAAGTAATTATGTCATTTAAAAATCGTTGGCAATAGATGGTGACAAGGCTAGTGTTTTGGCTGTGTTCTTCCAAAAAACATAACAAAACTATAACGGTGTAAATTACCGCAAATAAACAAAACCATCTGGAGACAATTAGTGAATTTTACCCGTATTATAGGTTACAAAAGCAATTCGTTTATTAAGTTACTTAGATATTGGTTCAAATTAACCAATTTATTACTAATAAATTTAAACTGAAATATATCTAAATTTCCATTATGATCATGGGTTAGACGGTAATTTTAAAATATATTATTTTAAAGGTTTTTGCGTACATTTTCCATCGGGAAGAAACCATGTTAGTATTTTTGTTACCATCATGATGGAAAATGTCCGTAATAAACCTTTGAACAACACTAACTCACCATCACCAACAATGAATTCCATACAACGAATATTATTATATTTGTGTGGTGTAGAAAGAACCTCTATGTTTGAGACCCTGGATCTTTCAAAAAATGTAAAGGTTCATTGCAAGCTTACTTGTAAATCTAGCCAATAGCTTTTCAAGTAATGTGGTAGTAATGGGTGAGCCTCTGGTTCGGAGTATAACTTGAGCTATTGTTGAAATTATCTATGAAATGTAAAAGTAGTCTTCCCAGGTGAAGAGAACCTTCTCTGTTACAAATAAAGAATATCTTAACTGAAAATGCTCAAAGTAAGAGATACATTTGTTGATTTGTTGACATTCAACAGGCAGTAATAACAATCTTAAATTCGTAACGTTATTTTAAAAGGATCACATTTTATGATTTATGGTGACATTTTATAGATGTACACATTTTACGATTAGGTGTATTTAAATATAAACACTAAAGTACAAAAACATAAAATATACTCTGTAGTACTAAATTAATACTAAAACTCAACTAGATCATAGAAAACATCAATGTTCTTTACTGTAAAATGTCAAAACGTAAAAGGTTTGCTAACCATTATTATTTTAAAACAAATTACAATTTACAAAATACTTAACTTGGACTCATTATATTCGCTGGTATAATAGTATAGTAGCACATGTTTGACCATTAGCGTTATTTCCAATGGTATATCTCACATTCAAACATCAAAACATGTAAATCCTTTAACTGATGGTACAGGAGACAACATCAATATGAAAAGTCCGTGGCACAAAAAGTGAGCCCGTTCGATAAGGCAGGCCAGCAGTAAAGATAGAAATGTGGAAGTTAAATCAGGATCCGCTATTCAGAGGTCTGTACCATTCATTATCAAATATCTCCACCTATTTATAAACTGATCGTCTCTTTTATGTTTTACTCGACGTCTGTGACCATCGTATCTATAAAATTCTAGATTGTTTAGTCTTTGGTCACTGTTTACTATCTATCATTGTTATTTTGCTTTCGGATCGATTGTATTTGTTCAAAAAACCTTTTATCCATCGAACCATCCATGAATAAAATTGATCATTGTTATTACCACTAAAAAGGCAATTTAGCTGGTGAAATTTCTGATATAAAGTATAAATTCACTTAAAAATTCTTGTAATTTAAAAACAATATTTCTCTAGTCATTATTGTTATTTAGATATTTAATTTTACAATTTTTTTGTTTATAAGAAGTGTTTGTGTTGAGTTCAACTATGATATTTTGAATGAAAATAAACAAAAACAATAATATATAAGTTTTTATTAGGGCCATTTATATAGTCAAAAGATGTAGTTATTTTACGTG